TTTTTTTTTTTTTTTTGTCTTTTAGTTGCTTATATACTTTGTCCCTTAGGTCATGGCTGATGGTAGCATATCAACTATGCTACCTGAAAGCAATCTGGAAGATGATTTCTGTGCAAGTCCCGAAGGTTATGATAGCTTGTCATCCGCTCACCTCCATAAGAATCACCTGCAAATCTACGGCGAGCATGTCCCCAGGTGATGTGATCAAAATAATACCAGGACGTCTATTTTTAGTTCAAAGTTCAAGGAGCACTTTAACTGACTACATCAGGTGATCAGAGTTTTATTTCTTAAGTAGGTTTTTTGTGATCTATGCCGATGGATCAGGAGTGGAGCTTCTTCGAGACAGCGACATAGAAGAATACCTGTCCCTGGCGTACGGAGAGCCGAGTGCTGTCGTGCTGCAAGAGCCGGTGCAGGAGCAGCCAGGTAGGGACTCTGTGCCCTCGCCAACGCCCATTCTCACCCAGGCCGCGCTGGGCCGCCTCCGCTTCTTGCCCTTGGCTCACTTTTCAGTTCCACTTTCCACCCGGCCAGGCCAACCGGTTTATACAGGTACTTTGTTCCTACCAAGCTTCATCTGAGCGGCAACCTGTGTAAACTGAGGATGCGTCCCTCTCCTACCCACAAGCAGATTTGTATCTGTGTTTAAGTATGTTAGGTATGTACCTAGGCTCCTATTCATGTGTTTGTTTAATCTTGGTAGGGAAAAAAACACACAGAAAAGTGGGCTATCTCTTATAAGTTCATTTTTTGTCATTTTGAAGGTGTTACCTTAAAGAATTTAATAGAATAAGATGAGAAAGTAGATTTGATGTGTCAGCTAGAAAGCCAACCTGAAATATGTAAGTTTTATGATGTATTCATTGGGCATTTATACTATTCTCACCAATTTCAAAGGAGTCTGTGGGCGACTAAAGGTTAGAGACACGTGTTGCGTTAAGTGAGAACCACCAGTGTGTGTGATGCGTGTATTTAAACATAGATATAAACTTGCATATCGTCTGTGAACCAAACTAGTGTGCTAGGTCTAAGTTTATGGGGGGATTAACCTTTGTCCCTGGTTGGTAGGATGTATTTGGTGCTCATCCATGAGTGTGCCTGCATCTCTGTGCACTTGCTCTTTTAGTGTATCAGTGCGCATGTGCATGCTGTAAAAACCTTGCTCTTGGCCTGTGACTATGGAGAGTGCATGTGTGGAACTGGATGAGAATACGAATTTGAGCTGCATTTAACTAGCATCTACTTGCTAAGCCACCATGGGCCAAACACTGGCTGGGTATTAGGGACACAGTGGCGAGCCTAGAGAGCATGGCCCCTACTTTCATAGAGCTTAAAGTTTAATGAGAGAGATAGGCATTAATTATATAACTGTGTGATTATAAATTGGGATACGGTCTATGAAGGAAAGGAACTTGGTTCTATGAGAACATCTGACGGAGGAGCCTGACGTAGTGTAGAAGGCTTCCCTGGAGACGCTGGAGCCAGCAGCTGGTGGGTGTGCAGGAGTTACTTAAGGCAGGAGAGAGAACTTTCTTGGAAGAGAGAATGCAGAGCAGGGAGCGTAAAACACTGGAATAGCGGGGGAGCGGAGGCCATAGTACCTGAGGCACAGAAGGGAGAAGGGCACAGGCTGAGGCAGGGGTGAGAAAATGTTAAGGACTCAGTTTTATCCTGTGAGCAATGGGAAGTCAACGAAGAGTTGAAATCATGGTTTAACATAATCAGTCACCCCGGCTGCTGGGGAGGTTCACTCAGTGTGGAAATGGGTAGAAAAGCTAGTCCTTGCTGCGATCCAGACGGGATCTGTCCGAGGGAATGATCTAAGGTGGGCACAGTGGAGAGGGAAGGGTGATGAACTGCAGAAATGTTCAGTGGTGGGATGGACAGGACGTGGGTGTGGTTTTTGAAGGACAATGAGGCATCAATGAATGCTTTCAGGTGATCTGAATCCAGTCCGTAGGGGTTACAGTGAGGAGAAATCTCACCTTTCTTTCTAGATCTTAAGGTCCTTAAGCATAATTGCTGTGTCTCACTTACCAAAAAGTGTTTGTTGAGCTTAGTGAATGCCCGTTGAAATTTTCAGAATATTTTTGATAGAGAAACGACCCTCTGATGACTCTCTTTGGACCAGGCGCCCTCAGCATCACTGTCCTTCGCCCTTTCTGTGAAGCGTCACCATGGTTAATGAAGAAAGAACTGGACACAATCATTCCTCCTAATCTTCAGTCCAGGACGTGGGAGACGTTTCCCCCAGTTGAGGTACAACTTTTCTTGCTGAAAAGTCACAGTATTTGCATATGCATCCATTGAACCGGAGTCTCAGATCTTCTCCCATATATTCATACATTTTCATTCTTATGTCAGTTGTGAGTGGGTTTAAGGAATTCTATAAGTGAAGATGTTAACCTTGTAGATTTTAGATACAGCGGACTCGCTAATCTGTTTTATTTCTTTTATCCTACATTGCAGGCTTGGACATCTTCTTATGATATAACAATATCCACTCTGAGTAACCCACGGTACAGCCCTGCTGTCACGGAATTACTGATATTATGCAAAACAGAAATCTTCCCTTCCCTTGTTCCTTATTTGTTAATTTTAACACACAACTTTAAGGCTTTCACCCTCCCTTTTTTCTTAATGTTTTAATTTACGAATTAAGTTTATGAGAATAACATGAGGATTATACACAGGGATTTGCAACTATATAAGCATTGTAATTAGGTCCCAGTAGAGCAGCCCCACCTTAAGCTTTTTAGAGAATGAAAGAAAATACCTTGAGCAAGAAACCTGAGGCCCTGAATCTCGCAAGATTTGCCATCTCATTTTGCAGTTTATGCAACATGCTCAGCACATTGTCAGGTGTTAAATTACTAACCCAGTAAAGGCATTGCTGAGATGGTCAGAAAGAGGTACTGGTGTTCAGTGAGGACGGTAATGTTTTCAGTTATCATGATTTTTGCTTTCCTACACAATTTTGTAATCTCAGGGGCGCAGATAATGAACACTTAAGGTAACAAAGATCTCCTAGCCCTATATTTCAATTTAGTGACTATAATCAACACGGTGAATGAAGATGCTCTGAATTCTAGTCCTGACTCTACCGATTATTAATGTGGGATTTGGGACAAGTTACACTGGACCTCTGCTTCCTTGCCTAAAAACTAAAAAGTCCACACTAAATGGCTCACTCAGGCTATGTATCCAAGTCTATAGTACTGCATTCTGACAAATAATGTGCCCATCTGAGATTCATGAAGGAAGTTCCGTCTCTACCTCTGCAACTCCTGAAGCTATGACCATGCCCAGTGGGAGTGGCCCGCCCCAGCAAGACGCTGAGCTGTTATCACTGACCAGGCAGTGGACACTGAATGACAATGAAAAATGAAGCACATCGGACACACTGCAGGACGTAGGGCATCATCCACACCACTCTTGGAAACGGTAACCTAGAGGTGGGGGTCTGCTCTGACCAGACAGTTCTGCTCAAGAGGTCCTGGAAGACTCCAAGGTGTGCTTAATCTCCAGTGAGCTCGAAGACCACTCGGATCTGTGGACGATTCCTCCCATTAAGTCAAAATATGCATGGAACCGGAAAGTTAAAGACTGTTTAGATCCCAATGTTTTAGGCTGCCTGTGGACATTAAAGGGGTAGTCACATGCGTTTGGTCTACGCTAGGCCGCAGCCGCATTGCCACAGCACAGCACTGCTTAGCACTCGCCTAAATGCCATCCAGTGGAATGGCAACAGGATTTTAAAATACCCAACTCTCGGTAACACATATAAAGAGAAAAGCTTGCTTAGTTCTGTTACTGAGTTTTCTTATATTTAAGAAACTTTTTGAGAGCAGGGATAATTTATTTTTTTTCGCCAATATATTCCCTAACAAGTGGTTCCTAGCATAGTGTCTACACAATAAGTACTCAGTTAAAAAAAATAAATGCTGATTTCTTGGGTGGTTGTTTTTGCTTTGTTTCAATAACAGAAGAAAACTCCAGGACCTCCGTTCGGCACCCATCTTTGGAAGGGCCTCAACATTGAGACCAAACAGCTAGTGAGTGCCCCAACCCCTATAGTCAGGAACCCCAATGTGCTGCAGATACGCCAGTTCATCCAGCATGAGGTCATTAAGGCTGAGGTGAAGCTGAAGCTACAGATTTCCCTTAAGGTAATGGGATCCCGGTAACCTGACCCAAAAGAATCGGGAACAGGGCAATTGTCCCTCCTGGTTTCCCTAGGAGCCTGAATTAGGTAATTCTACCAATATATATGTACTGTAACGCACAGGTGTCAGTCTTCCAGAGGGTAGGAAGGTGAGAGGTAGAAAATACTAAGTGAGTCCCATAAGGTATGGGAAGTGTTGAGACCCCGAAGACATTGGGAAGGTAAGTAACTATAAATGATAGAGTCCCCCTTTCTCATTTTATGGAAAACTAGCCTAGTGACTTCTGGTAAAAGGCAGAACTGCATATTAATCTGAAACTTGTCCATGGAAGAAAAGTATTGTTTGGTTTTTGGAAATGGCCCAAGAATTTGTAAATATTTAGTTAATTGTAAGCATATTTGTAATATCTCACTGTCTAGTATGTTAAATCTCAGAACAGGGATCATGTGTGTTTTGATTGTGGGTATCAGCACCTGGCATAGAGCAGGGGACCATTATTAAATATTTATGGAAAAGTAACGTATGTTCCTCTTGGAAGCAAAGGCATGCCTAAGCAACTTGCATTCAAAGACAGGATCATCAAGACTATGCCTGGAAACTCTAGAAACCATCTAGCCACCTCTGTCCATGTTATAGATGGGAACACTGAAGTCCTCATACAGTTCTGATATCCTGTGGCCCTTAAGGCTTTGCTTCTGAATTTGTCAGGTCTTTGCTTACTAACAGAGTAAAGAAAGGGCTTTCCAGATCACTTGACCAGTAACTGTGGAGGTTGGCCACTGTGAACTTACAAAATCTTAATCTTTTTGTGATAGTCCAAGTTGATGTTGACTATTTGGCATCTTCCTCTATCTTATTTCTGGTTTTATTGATTTACTTTATTCTGCTGATTTAGGATTATATAAACCATATCCTAAAGAAAGAAGATGAGCTGCAGGACATGACAGTTAAAGATTCCAGAACTGAGGAGGAGAGAGGCAATGCTGCAGATCTCCTCAAGCTAGTCATGGTGAGACAGGTTTCACATACCAGGCCTTTACTCTTGTTTCAATTCTAGAGGCTCCGAGACAAAATACTAGACGTAAGAGCCATCTCTGCCACTTCTGTGAAGCATCTTCTCCCTCCTCATAATTTCTTATTTCTGTGGAAATCTGATTCCCTATACATTGGATTTTCCAAATGCTTTTTAGGCTCTTTTTTTTTTCTTTTTTTTTTTGAAATATATCTTTATTGATTTCAGAGAGAGGAAAGGAGAAGGAGAGAGAGAGATAGAAACATCAATGATGAGAGAGTCATTGATCGAGCCCACAACCCGGGCATGTGCCTTGACCAGGAATCAAACCTGATCGCCTGGATCCCAGGTTGACGCTCAACCGCTGAGCCACGCCCAGCCAGGCTAGGCTCTTTCTTAAATCATAAATAACTCGGAAGCCTCTTAAATAAAAGTGTTTATTCTCTTAAGAGAAATGGACATGCTTTAAAATGTTGAATGAATTAGTGGATGAAATAGGAAGGAGGAAGAAAAAGGAATTTCTGCAACTTAAAATGATTTCTCTTTTCAGAAATTTGTTAAATGAAAGGAATGACTAAAAAATCAGATAAGATTTGTATTAGCATTAAAAAGAATTCATTTTATAGTAATTTTCATAAAAGATCAAGTTGATCACATAAAGAATGCTTGTAAACAAAGTGAATTCTGTGTGTAATATGATCATCAGCATTAAGGAATTTTATCTTTATTTCAGTCTTTCCCTAAGATGGAAGAAACTATAAAAAGTCATGATACTGAAAGTAAGTATGTTTAATATGTTTTTGCAAAACATTTACAGACTTCAAAGGAACAATCTTAAATATACTTCTCAGTCGTTCTTGCATCTGAAAGCAAAGTACTGTCTGTGTATTTCTGTTGTTGGGTTGGCCATGTTGTATTGTAATTATTTATTCAAGTTTTTTTCTGCCTGAATTATGAAATTGTTGAAAACTGTGACTGCCTCTAATTCATCTTTAACTTTCGTCTTTTGCATTAAAAAAGTTAACATTTGGCTTTTATGTTAACCTTAACTTGTATGTAGAACACAGGAAGGAAACAACCAACCAGCGTGCACTCTCCCCACAGCGCGCGCGCGCGCACACACACGCACACGCGCGCGCACACACACGCACACACACGCGCACACACACGCACGCACACGCGCGCACACACGCACAGGCACGCACACACACACGCACACACACACGCACACGCACAGAGGGGAACTTGAGGCAACTGCAGGCGTCACCCCGACCCCGCCCTGTTTTACACTGTGTCTCCTCTTGGGAAATACCCTCATTCAAAGCAGGTCTATTTTGGAGCATGTACGGCGCCAACAAAATTGGTTTTATGGTTTCACAGTTCATGGCAGACAAGCAACAGAGAGAACTTGGTAATTTGGGTTTGTTTGGGTTTTGGCCACATGACAAAGGTCAGAAACTGGTAGCCATGGGCTTCAGTCAGCCCACAGATGTGTCTTGTGTGTCCCCACAGTGTTGGTTTGCAGCTGTTTTGTTTATCTGAATTTTTCTTTTCTTGAAATGTCGCCTCACCACATAGTGACGCGCGGCCCGAGACGGTGAGCCGCTGCCCCCGCAGAACGAGCATGAACGGAAGGACCCGTCACAGCCACGCCTCCCTGTCCTTATGCTCTGCTGTGACCCGCACCTAGGAGCCCCTTATATTAATAAGGTTGCCAGATTTAGCAAATAAAAATAGAGAAGGCCCATTACATTTGAATTTCAGATAAACAACAAATAATTTTTTAACGTAAGTATTGGGACCCACTTATACTAAAAAAATTATTTGTTTATCTGAAATTCAGATTGAATTAGACGCCCTGTACTTTATCTGGCAACCCTACCTTGTGGCGCTTGAATTTGTAACCTCTGGCAAGAGGGAACAGTCTCCAGAGAGGTAAATGGGTAGGTTGCCCAAAAGCGAAGAACAAATTCAATATATTTTTCAAACATACAAACTAACAAACAGAGGCAGGAAACACACAGGGTCCTGCACTCTTACAGCTGCCCCGACATATCTTAGTGGTGGTCCTCAGTCAAGGCTCCCACAGGATTTCCTAAAACACTCGTCTCTGGGTCGGCTCCCCCCGAAATGAGCTGTGTGATAAAATAAGTTTGGATAATGCTGCATATTGCCTTATGTTCTTAGAGAGCCGTAAGGGGTGGAGGGTGCAGAGAAGTCCCGCAGCAATGAAACGTAGTTCACCTGTGTGAGCCCGTGTTTCCCAAGCTCAACGAGCCATGAAACCTTGTATCTTTTAATCTCCTATTAACATCCCACCAAGACCATGATCTGTGCAATAAACTCTGAGTCACTTCCCAAATTATCAAAAACCCGTGCATTATGTTCATACCCTTAGATTCAGAGCCTTGGTGGTTTTTTCCTTTTTGGGAAAAAAAAACAATTTCAATAACGTGGGTAAATTTTTTTTTTCATTTTGGTGCTTCGCATATGAAGAAATTCAGTCAGGTAGACGCTGACTCTCCTAATGATGTGTCACTACCTTTCCCATTTTGTCCTCAAGTAAGATACTGTGTTAGTGTTTCCGCAGTAAACATCTGTGTGTTGCAGCTTCATCACAGGCATTGTAGTAACCACTTGATGGGCTAAACAGAGGCTCTCAGCGAGCATCTCCAGTGAGTCACTGGGTGTTGCTTGTGTGCTGTGCTGCAAAGCTAAATGCATCTGTTTTTAAAGTTGCAGCCCACCTGATCGATTTGTACAAGCAGTCTTTCACCGCTGCTCCGGAATGCCTGCCGGACCCCCTGGATACAGTCGTATCTGAGAAGTGGAGGTGAGCTGATCCAGTAATGTGTCCCCGTTAGCAGGAAGCACGCAGCGACTGAGGAATGGAGAGATGCGGGTGTCAGAGCTGTGGGTGACCACATCCAGCAGGCCTCGGCCTTCCGTCTGCCGCGCTAACAATTTATCACACAGGGGCAGTTTTCCTTTGATCGTTTGCCAGCCGAGAGCATTGCCCCCTTTATCTGGAAGCACGTGCATTTGTTTACTCACCACTGATACAAATGAACATTTACGGCAGCTGGTTAGGTTATGGGAACAGCCTCCTGCCAGGAGCTGGCCAGAGAGGGTGCTGAGTAACACAGCTTGGCCAGTGCCGTGCTGGAGCTTGTCGGGGAGCATCGGAAACAGCCCCTTAACGTCAACACGTGGGCAGCTCATGACAGACTGGGAGAAATGCCAGGGAGGGTATACGTGGGGCACCAGAAGGAAAAATGACAGTGGGGCCCTACTTTATGACTTCAAAAATAGGGCAGCTGGGGAGGGGGCATCTTTTAAAGAAAAGGGGAAATCCGGTTTTAGACATGTCAAAGTATCACATGGACTTATACCAGGGGTAGCGGATATCTGGGAGGGCCTGGGGGTGCCAGTTAGGCTCCTTCCCTGGGGACTACGTAACCTAAGATACTGCCAGTTAAGATAACAGAGAAAGAGCCAACTGTGTGGAAAGTTGGCAATGCACCAGTATCACACTTTTGGTCATACTTGTTTTTCCTTCCACATAGGCACTCGGTGACAGTAAAGCGCTGGAAAGAAAAGATAGCCCAGAGGAGGTAATTCTGTCCTGAAGCGCATTTTGTAAGCATATGAAAAAGCCCAGCTTTGTGGAGTCATAGAATCTTAGAGGGATGGTTGGAAGGTCCTGCATCCAGGTTCCCTGCTGCTGTCCGAATCTCTTCAGCGTTTCTGCCAAGTGTCATTCAGTTTTTGTATGACGATGCCCTCATCTCTGGAGGATGCCCATTTGAGGTGGTCAGCAAATGTCTGATGCTGTGGAAGAGTCAGAAAGGAGACTGAAAAGAGGAATTTGGGTTTATCAGTTGGAAGGTTTATTGACTTCTTTTGTAAGGCAGTTTTAAGAGAATGGTAGGCAATAGGCAGACTGCCATCAATTGATAAATGAATCCAGTGGGGCATAGAGATGTTAATGAGAAATTAAAGTTGCTTAAATAAAATAATATTTTGATTCCTCCAGTATTTCCAGAAAAGCCATCCAATGTAAGAAAGAGCACTGGTTTCAGGGCCAGCAGCCTTAGAGCCTGTTCCAATTTGATTGCTTACAAACTGTGTGATGCTGGTTGTTTTAGTTTAGTGAAATTTACTTCAGGAATCAGTTTGCTTATCTATAAAATGAGGATGGCTGGACCCCCAGCTGTCTCAGGTCAGCTCAACTACTGGGCGACCAAGTGCTGATTAGCACGTGTACTTATCAAGATCATGGGCTTGGAGGCAGGCAGCCTGGGTTTTAATTCAGACTTCACCTTTTACTAGTTAGTGACTCAGGTAGGTTACATAACTTCTCTAGCCTTGGTTTTTTGACCAATACAATGGGAATAATAGTAATTCAGAATTATTGTAAGATGAAACGTAAAGTACTTTGCAAAGTGTCTGGCATGCAGTGAACACTTAAAATCAAAAACTATTTCAGATAAGATTAGGTTCAGCTACACTTAACAGACAACCCTCAAACCAGTGCTTTTATAAAAAAGAAGTAGGCCGCGCCACATCATCAGGTCCCTTTTTTTAATCCATTCCATTGTTATTAGCATGAGTTCCATCCTCAAGGTTGCTTTGTGGGTGCAGACTGGCTGCTGCTCCTCCAGCCATTTCACCCATATTTCAGGGAGCAGGAAAAGAGATGAGGCAAGGACACAGGGAAAGCTTCCCAGCCCAGTTAGCTCCCTTCAAAGCACCTAGAGTCTTCCCCAGTGACTTTAGTTTACTTCTCATTGGCCGTCCCCGCATATAAAGGGGCTGAGAAGTGTAGCTTTTAGCTGGTATGTTTTCTCCCCAGTGTAGGGTTCTGATATTGGAAGGACATCTGGCAGGATTATCATGACTGCTTTTATTTCACTTTATAATCACAGATCACATTATTCATAAGCCTTTGCTTAGATTTTAGTTTTTGATTTTGAACCACTGCTACTGAAATTACGCAGATTAGTAGAATCCAGCTGGCTTTTAAACCATGTGGTTCTTTGTCTTTTGAGGACAACTGTAAAACCAACCACCTGGCATCATCATTTCCTATCTTTCAATGAAAGTCTGATTTCTAAGTAGCAAAAATGACTGATTCTAGAAGCAGCAGAAAATAGACCAAAACAAATTGACCAAAAAATGTCTGATGAGTTGATTCTTATCAGTTTTACTGTTGGTGATCCCATTTTCTGTGGGATTTAGAGCTAAAACACAAGCAAATAACATTTTGAAATATGTTCTGTCTTCTCTTGCATCATTATGGAAATATCAACCAGGAAGGAAATTGAAAAGACAAACAATTATTTAATGAAAATTAGGAACAAAGTAATATCACCTTACTTCAAATCTGAATTGAGCATGACACACCTGTCTCAGGTAACTGAATGTAATTAACAGCTATTGAATAAGAGCCCTTTTAAAGTCCATACAGTGCATATGTTACTACGTGCATATATGTACCTTTCCTGACGTCATTTCTTTCCTACATCCAATCCACTAGCTAACTTTGCCCTTCAAACCCACGTCTTCACGAGCATAGGAGAGAAGCCTACTTTCAGGTCTTACATCCAAGTAGAAGTTCTCTGCCAATGTCTCACTACCCCTCCATCTCCCTGCCTTGCCTTATCACTATTAATTGCCTTATTCTATCTATTTTAAGCCCCTTTCTTGTCAACTTCCCTATCTCAGCTGCTGAGATAGCACTAAGATGTTATGAGTTCAGAACTCCCTGTGTTTCCAGGAAAACTCCAGACACTATTATTAACTAGAGGCTGCCTGAGAAGAAATTACAGGAAACTAATTAACAAAATCTAGAATTGAGTTAATGAGTCTCTTGAAAAAAAGGTTTAGTTGGCAAAACTTTATTTCCACGACCTTAAAAAAGAGACTTGGATCATTGCCCATCAATTTAACCTGCCTGTGGCAGTTGCCTTTGGGTCGTGTGTAAGTCTGAAATGATTCTTTTGCTTTCTCCTTATCTGGACACCCTTTCCAAAAACGTGCCTCCTTTCACAAAGAAAGGTGATGATGAAGGCAGATCAGCCAAGAAGAGTGCACCCAATCTTCACCCAGGTAATGTGCTCGGGCAGCTCTTACCCCGGTAATGTCCTAAATGCAGAATACGCATAGTGGCCTCTTAGGCCATAACTGGTTCCCAGCACCCTAGTCACTGTCAAGGGCGTGACCTGCTGGGACCTGTATATTAGTCCCGTGTGACTCATAGGAGGAAACCAAGATGTACCTACAATTTAGCTGTCATCCCCTATGCTTAAAATTTACCTAAAAGCATTAAGATCTGGCTAATTTAAAAAATAATGAAATAATGCAAGGGTTTTGGAGAACAGGTTGTTCACAGGGTCCCAGAGCATCACCTCACGGATTACCTGCTAATTCTAAGGAGGCAGATGTACCTTTACAATGGAGAGAAATGGCATTGTCCACTTTAACAAGTGATCGAACTTCTGCCAGTTGTGAGACAACCTAGCGCTGGGTGCGCTCTCATACAGCGCAGTCTGGAGTGTAGGATGTGAGGTATATGAAGGAGAATGCTTGCCAAAAATCCACAACCTGAACTTAATAAACAGGAAACAAATCCAGAATGTAGGTAAATTTTTTAAGACAACAGGCCTGGACTCTTCAGAAAAATCAGTATTATTAAAAGAAAAAGACTTGGTAATTGTTCTATAGTAAAAGAGACTAAGGAGGCAGGAGGCAGGGAAACGACATGTGATACATGAACTTTAGATGTGGGTGGAGAAAACAGCTATAAAAGATGTTGTGGGGCAACTGCCGAGTTTGATTGGGGGGTTCTGTGAGCGGCATGTGGCATTACTGTATGTTTTCTTGGGTGTGATGATTGAGCTGTGGATATGTTCTTGGGAGAATGTATTTTAAGAGATGCCCATTGAAGAACTTAGTGATTCTCTTTGATACCCTGGGTAATTAAAATACCCAGATCGAGGAATTTTCTCCTGGTCAATACAAAACCAGAAATTCAGCTTCCTGAAATGAGTGTAGCCAAAGAAAACATCTAATAAATACAGAGTTCACAAAGCAGAGATGAAGGCAGGAACAAGGGCCTCAGTGCGATGGGGAGAGACCAGGGGTGAAGGTTGGCGGTGCTTGTGCTTTACCCTGCACCCTGGACAGACATCACTAATCCATCAGGCCCGCTCTCCTCTGGAAAGGGGGCGGGGCCTGTCTTCAACACAGTCCTCTAGGCAGCCACCACCATTCATTCAACCAGGGTTGGCCCACACAAGTTGGCCCTTGATATATTTATTTAAAATTTGTCTCCTATTGCACTGATTCCTCAGAGAGACACATCTTAATAAAAAAAAATACATGTTCAGCCCTGGCTGAGTGGCTCAGTTGGTTGAAGCATCATCCCGTGCACCATAAAGTCAGGACACATACCAAGATTTTGGGTTTGATCCCTGTTTGATCCTCGGTCATCAGTGTTTCTCTCTCTCCCTCTCTCTTTCCCTCCCTCCCTAATATCAATAAAAACATACCCTCGGGTGAAGATTTAAAAAAAAAAAAAAAGAATTACATGTTCCCAGTATTGAATACATTTAAGATTGGAAGCTTTTTAAAAAAAAATCACATCTTTCCCTGGCCGGTTTGGTTCAGAGGTTAGAGTGTCAGCCCCTGCACCGGAGGGTCCAGGGTTCAATTTCCAGTCAAGTGCACATACCTGGGGTTGCAGGCTCAATGCCTGGCCCAGGTAGGGGTGCCTGCCTGAGGCAACCAAGCGATGTGTCTCTCTCACATCAATGTTTCTCTCCCCCTCTCCCTCCCTCCCGTCCACTCTCTAAAAATCAACCGAAAAATATCCTCGGGTGAGTATTAACAACAACAACATTTTTTTAGTCACATCTCAAGTTACTCCTGCCAGATAAAAGTAGGCCAAATTACTTGGTTTCTGTTTCATAACCCAACAAGATAACTACTACTGTGTACTCATAAGGCCTGGAGAGAACCAGCTAGCTCCCAGGGAGTGTGGGCCCTGCTAATGGCAAACATTGCACCATACAGGAAGAACTGTTGCCTTCTAATACCTTTCCTATATTTAGTCTTTCTCAAGGAGGGGAGGGAGGAGCCCCTTGTTCACTGTAAAGAAGAACACAGACATTAGTAGTCATTGTACCCTTGTCCAGAATATCACTTTATAATATTCGTTTTAGGTTTTCTAGATCCCCAGCCAAAAGAAGTTTTAAAACAGGAATCCTCCGATATGTCTCATCTTCTAAAATTAGACGGTTTTGTGGATATCAGGGAGTCCACTAACCTGAAGCAAACTGAAAATTTAACAAAGTCTCCCACAGGTATGACAGTTATTTGCTTTATCTCATTGTTTCTCGAAACTGAACATCATGTCTTTTGGAGCATGGGAGATGGTCCTGGGTGCTAAAGGTGTGGTTGGTGGTTACAGAAAAGTTCTGGAGTGTCATGGGTCCTAGAGCTATGGAGCTTTGAAAGGCTCCTAGTACAATATAGATATGTTGGTAGGTTGGTTAATACGTGGGGTTTGGGAAGATGAGCAAGTCTGATTGCCAAGGAGTGGATGCCGTGATGGGATATATAATCCACTCCAGACAAACAGGAAAGCAAGACAAGAAGGAAGTGACTGGTTATTTAAGGTGAGAGGGTCAGTTCATTAGAGGTCTCACTGAGGTCGAATAATTGCTTGTTAGCCCTGGGCGGTGTTTCAGTGGCTAGAGCATCGGCCCGCACACAAAGGGTCATGGGTTCCATTCTGGGTTGCAGGTTCGATCCCCAGCCCTGGCTGGGGGGTGCGCAGGAGGCAACCAATCCATGTGTCTCTCTAACATCACTGTTTCTCTCCCTCTCCCTCCCTCCCTCCCGTCCACTCTCTCTAAAAGTCAATAGGGGGGAAATATCCTCGGATGAGGAGTTCCAAGAAAATAATAATAATAATAATAATAATTGCTTGTTAAATATGATAGAGGAATAAGCTAGAAGAATAGAAGGTGGTAATCCAGAGAGGAAAGCTTGAATCGAGAGTTTGAAAGTGGTAAAATTATTGGTGTTGGCAAAGTCAAAGGTATGAGCATGGGAGCTTAGGTGGAGAGAGGGAAAGATGAAGAAACGTGTGATGGAGAATCAGGGAGGACAGGGTGATGTCACCAAGAGGGATGGAGAAGTGCAGACAGCCGCGGGAGTGTGGGCTGTCACTCGCCAAATGTAGTGGCCTGGGGATTTAATTCCCGGCCTTAATTGACCTATAATTACTGCCACCTTTTAGAATTATAAATATAGTAGTTGAACCAAAGAGATTCTCAGGATTTTGCCCTCGTTAGTTTTAAGAAATCTTTCAGAATCACTATTTCCTTGTATAGCACCTCGTTGATTCAATGGCAAGAACCCTGAAGATCTCGGAAAAAATTCAGTTTGTCAAAGGCAAGTCACTTAGCTTCATAGAATCTGCTTTTTCTCATTTATTTAGAAAAGGTGATGCTAATAGTGCCTGCCCTGCCCATCTCATGGAATTGGTGTGAGGACCAACACTGGGTAAAATCTCTTTGTAAAATGTACAGATAGAACACTAGAATTAATAAAAGCCTTTGTTCCTTTAAATAAGCTCTTGAAAAAGGAAAGAAGAAAACTTCCGGAGTTAGTGTTCTTCATATGCTGGGATGACCTCGAATGTCTCTGGATAAAATGTCCATGTGGTAATTTCAACTTTCTAACAGAACCAGACTGGTGTGTGCCCGTGAAAATCCCGACCCAGTCGCTGCTGCAGGATGTTGCAGGACAAGCAAGGAAGGAGAGAGTGAAGTTACCTCACTATTTGCTGAGTTCCAAGCCCAAGTCTCTACCGCTCACAAAGGTAAAACAGACATGGGGACAGATTTCCAAGAGCCAAGCAGCGTTTTATATAAACCTGACTCAGTGGAGTGATTGATGGCCAGCCACTGTCTATTGCTATTTCCTGTACGTACCGTCTCACCATGGTGCCTTCAGGTCACACAGAGATGAATTAAGTCATGCAGGCTCACTGGGGGAAGTTTGTGAGCCAGCTGTTAAACCACTGGTAGCTTGAAATCAGCCCCGCCGGGAGTTCTTACACCGTGGAAATCGTCAAATGCTGTTAATCAAGGTGCTTTCCGGAGAGACGGTCTTGCCAGCATACTGGCTAAGGGGGTCATTGGCCACCCTCCTCATGACTTTTAGGATAAAATCCAGATGCCTTAGCATGACCACAAGCATGGCCCAGTCTGCTTCTTGGCTCACCTTGCCCCAAAGTCACTGTACTTCAGCCATTGTGGGTTTTTAGTCCCTTAATTCTTAGTTCCATCCAGCTTCTCCCTTCTCAGAGCCTCAAAGATCAAGATTCTTTTTCAGCTCTGCTGGGAAACCTTCCTTGAGCCCAACAGACCAGCTTTGGTGTTCTCCTTTGACACTTCCCTGGCACCTTGTGCCCACTGCCATCACCAAATTTGTTGCAATGTAACTGACGTGATAGGAGCGCTCCTCAGACTTTAACGTGCAGGCGAATTACCCAATGATCTTGTTAAAATGCGGACTCTGACTCCCGGGCTCTGGTGCGGGCCTGAGACTGCAGTTCTGGCAGCTCCCAGGTGAGGTCAGCGCCGTGGTCTGAGGCTACCTAGGGCACAGGGCAGAGGTTCCCGAGGTGGGATCACCTGGCCCAGCAGCGCTGGCAACACCTGAGACCTGGTAGAAATGCAAAGGCACGGACCCCATCCCAGGTTTGCTGATCTAGAGACTCGGGGTGGAGGGAACAGCTGGAGTCTCAGCGAGTCCTCCAGAGGATTCTGATGGGGATGAGGTTTGATCATCACTGGCAGAGAGGAAAGAGCACAGACCTTAGATCCAGGCAGACTTGCCACTTACCACTTGAGCAAATGATCTGTCTTTCAGTTCTCTAAACTTGAGCTTCTTTAGCCTCAAAACAAAACAATACTTCCTTACAATGGTGCGTACGGATTACATGAGACGGTAAATATTCATTTCCTCCCCGAGACAAGCAGTTGTTTTCTTCTGGAGACAGAGCCTTTTTCTCATCTTGGGAACTCAAAATATAACCATTTTATTTCATGTTCTTACTTTTTCCTAAATACAAAGGCACAAGATTTTACTGGAGGAAGAGTGAAAACATCCTCGGTTGCATCGGCTGCCATTAATAACCCACATTCATCCCCTTTTGGATTCCACCTCCTCCCTCCATCGGTGAATTTTGGGGTGCTCAAGGAGGGGCACATCTATGAAACCACCGTCAAGCTCAAGAACATTGGAGTGGACTTCTGCAGGTGAGGCCGAGACCCCCGCGCCTGCTCAGGTCACCTCCTCCTCCCCTGTGGCTTGTCTTGACGACCTACGTCAGTGAATGCTTACTGAGTTGAACTGGAATTACACTCTGACTCTCGGATTTTCACACCCTTCACGCATTTACTCACTAATTCTTCAGTTCACTGACTCATTCATTCTTCAACAAATCACTGTTTATCGAGCTGCAGCTAGTAGTAGGTCCTACTTTGCCTTTCCATTAGTCATTATTCAGACTTAGGTAGAAGCAACTCCAGGCCTGATGCTTTAGCAAAAAAAAAAAAAAAAAAAAAAAGG